AGCTTGGGTTTTGAGGAGTCGACCCATTTTGGCACCTTCCAATCCCTCCATCGCTGTGTGTCCGCGTGGGAGGCCAGTTTTCTGCCATTGTTTCTATAGCGGAACTGTTCCAAGAGGAGTTTTACTTCAGGTCCAGGTCTGAAATCCCTAAAAATCCAACTTATTTGGTTGTTTTCAGTTTGGTATTTTTTGTGCTTATTGTTGTATACTTGAGGTATTGCATGTAATTTGCCTTTCTGTTCACATCAGTCGAGTTGGGTTCAGTTGGGTTGAAGGTTGGGTAAATGTTCAGAAATATGAACCTGACTTCAACATGCATGTAAATATGCATGTTTTCATGCAAACATGCATGTATATATGTATATGTATCAATAATTTTGAGTTTTAAGGAAAAGATTTTGGGTGTAGCATGAGTATAGCACTCCTAAAGCATCAACATATATAGTTAACCTTAATTGGCCAATTCTATGTTTAAGTAGTGATAGCATTTTTCTAAAACAAAAAGAAGTAAAAAAATTAGTCTAACCTGAACCCAACCCAAGTTTAGGGTTGGGGGTTCACAACTTGGGTTGGGTCAGGATTGACCTCAATCCGACCTAAACTAAGTGGACTTGCACCCCTACTACCAGCCAAGCTCAAGCAAGCACCGGCACAAAACTACAGCACTAAGGGCCCGTTTAGGAGGGCTGAATCCTTGGTTCAGTGCTTTCATTGAGCTGCTTTGGCGGAGCAGCTAAGGGCTGTTTTATCGGACTGAATCTTTGATTAAGCTGCTTTAAAGAAGCCACTAAAAGAAACTTCAGCGGAAAGCCATATTTTGGACTATAACATAGCTATTCTGGATTTTATGGGTTTTTTAACAAACATTGCTTATACACTGTCCAAGCGGCGCCCACCTTGTAAAGCCAGAAGCTACTATATCAAAGCCCTCCCAAACAGGCACTAAAGGAAGCTTCAATGAAAAGCCATTTTTTTTGCTGAAAGAAAGCTGATTTGGGTTTTCCAGGTATTTCACCAAACAATGCTTATAGGCTGTCCAAGTGGGCCCACCTTGCAAAGCCAAATGCCACATTGTGAAAGCCCTCCAAAAATGGGCACTAAACCATCAGGTTGCTCAAACTCATCACTTTGAATAAAACGTCTGCAAACAAGGGTCGTGATATTCCTAGCCTAGCTTGCCTGCAAATTTCAAGCCCTGGGCCTAGATTTTGTCTTAGCCCAGCCTGGCCTAGGCCTGCATGATATAAGAGATAGAGAGCGATTCACTCAGGTGCCCAGCCCAGGTCCTCGTGGGCCAAGGCTTACAAGAAGCCACTTATACCAGGACCACCACCACCCCATGATCATGCCTACTGTATAGAGCATCAAATAATAGAAGTTATAACTACTAAGAAGCACAAGTTACTCTCTTTCCTCTAGCCCTAAGGACCACCACCACCCCATCTCTTCTGGCTTGTTCTTTTTGCCTTATTTAGATTCCTCATCAACCCCAAATTCCTATTCCCAGGAAATCACCTCTCTAGTCACCTCATTCAGCAACATCTTCAACTTCAAATACCAATTCCTCTCTCCTAACTTCACCAATGCTCTGTCTCCTTTTCAGCAGATCTATCCATTGGTCTTATCAGTAAAGAGATTTTATTAAATAGTGATAGAAAGGGTCCTCAATTCAACAGCATTGAAATGAAGAAAAATACAAGAACAGTTTAAAGGTGACCAAATCAAAGAAAAACAGATGTAAAAAGATAACAACAGATCATCAAGTACCTAGATATTCCATGTATGACCTCAGTGCTCCCCATTCTAGGGCATTTATGTGAAGGGATGAGAGATCCATCATATAGATAGTTGAACCCTGCAGGAAGGTTGGGCGAATTTTCAAAAAATTCTCTCTCCCACGTGGGAATCACATTCCCTATTTTAGAAAACTGCATTTTCAATGATCAATCTTGAACCCAAACCAGACCAGATCTGAAACCAAAAGGGAGTGGAGGGATATACCTGATACGAAGTAACAATAACCTCCAATGAACGTGTTCACGCCCAAGGAAAGATCCAAAGACTGCTTCCACTGAAGATGACATGGTGCAGGATGAAGCAAAATCAGCAGAATGACTCTTTAGCAAGAACCTGATTCTTCAGCAAGAATCTGATGGAGGGCTAGTGAGCACAACTTCTGATTACCTTTTCTGCCAAAAGGTAATATCAAGAACACTTCTTGATCGCTCCCACAGGTGGAGATCGAACTGGTATGGCGGCAAGAGCAGGAGAGAAGGAGACGGTGCAGTCTAACTGTGTTGTCTCTTTCTAAATTCAGCAGTCAGATTGGTTTCTGTTGTGTACTGAGGGTTCGCTCTGCTCTCCTATTTATAGCCTTAAAGAGAGGTTCTCATAATCCCATTAGGAGTTTCCTAATCCAAATATTGTATTTCGATCTGGACTCTCTTTAAAAGATAATGATAATTCCTTATCTTATCTGCAAATAAAGATCAGCCCTCCTAATCTAATTAGGATTCTCCTGATCCAAATCTCTATTTGGATCTGGACTCTCTGAGTGGATAGGGACAATCCCTTATCCTATCTGCTGATCTAAATCCCAGAATCACCCTCCTTTAATTAATCCCATTAAGCCAATTCGAATTGGCTTTAGGCCCATTAAGTTCATCTACTCACTTACCCTCCAAATTGTTGCCCAATTGAATATCCTTGTATGGCGTGGGACCCAAACATTGATCTACACATCAGCCACATGGGTTCAGCCCAGCCTCTGTTACAAGGCCTGGCCGAATTCACTATAGGAGACAGTGAACCCCTGAGTCCATCACCATGGGCTCTTAATGGGCCCAACATTTACACTAAATGGTCATTGGGTCAAGCTACCTTATAAAAACCCAAGGACTGTGGGCAGATGCAAGATTAGCCCATCAGGTATTACCCTCAATGGTCTTACACTTAACCTCTCAGCCCATAATGATCAAACACTGCCCAACAAGAGAGGACCTCTCCCTCGGCTGCAAGGTACAGTGCTGCACTCTCTACTCACATGGATCCCGGGAATTAAAACCTTTTTGCAAACATTTTGAAACCATAATATATATATATCTATATCTTTATATAAATATATTTTGCAAAACAAATTTCAATGGTTGAAATCGACTGCCGGCAGTTTTAGTTTCCATCAAAGGGAGTGCATCCCCGATCATTCACTTTGTTTGACAAAGGGGCTGATGTTGTCACTATGATCACCTAACCCATTTAGATGAATTCTCGGATTGTCCCAACATACCTAGGTTTCGACCCCCTCTAAGGATCTCATTGATTGGCATATCAAAGACAGCCCAATCCAACACCTAATGAAGTATCATAATCGAGTCTAGGGGTCAGGTGTAATATTCCAGTTTTGCCCATCTATCTCTAAGGTCCAGGGCAATACTGAAATTCTGGTCCGATTCAGGGTTTCAAGAAAACCCACACTACATGTACCTCAGGTCTCACCTTGGCATCTGAGACAAGCCACCCCAACCAACTTGGCGGCACATCAGTGTCAACCTTGGCAAGATAAATCTCCCCAGATCTATCCAACGGTTGTGAAGATTCTAAACTAACACGAGTCTCATATGTGTCCAGTTTAAGGGTATTACACAAAAACACACCATGATAACATGAATCAAGTATATACTTTATTCATTTACATTAAATGTCATAATGTACATTATTCTGATTGGAGCTAAGGGCATACACTGTCTAACATTATGTGGGCCCCCACCCTTTCCAAAGGGTCTTCAATGTTGTTGGTTGCTCTGGGAACCCATGTAACAAGCAATTTAAATGAGATTTCCAGTTTCATTTCTTACCACCCCTCCAATCCTTGACAGGCCAATTCCCCCTCATTTCCACCCTGATACAAAGCTTGACAGCAAGTTTAACTTTGAAGACCATAATCAGATACAATAATGAGTAAAACTCATCAGCATATTACCATTTCCAAACAAAAAAAAAAGTATTGATTTTGTATTAATTTACTATAGAGAGCAAAATACACCAGCCCATGTACAATGAGAGCCTGTACATCAGGAATATACAAAACAAAGCAGAGTCATCCAACAAAGTCCAGCTTGCAAAAAAAGATCTGAGCTGGACACCCTGAAATTTTCTTTATACACCCAACCAAGAACAAAACAAACCTATTAGATTACTTCTGACTTCCACCAAGGCAGAAAATTTGTTGTCAAAAATACAGTTGTTCCTTTCCTTCCATAGTCTCCAGATGATGGCAGCCAGGAAAGTATTCCATAACAATTTGCCCCTTCTATTCAAACCTTTGATAGTTAATCCTTGCAGCAGCTGAAGTAATGATTCTGGCAAGCAGAAGTCAATCCCAAAGCAGGGCAAGCCATAATTCATAGCTAACGAGAAAAGCTACAATGCATGAAAAGATGATTTGGTGACTCTGGGGCTTCATTGCATAAGGAGCAAAGAGAATTAGGAAGAGGCATTCCTCTTCTTAGCAGCTGATCAGTACTCTGTAGTTAGGCATCTATTGTGGACTGTAGTCCATACCAAGAAAGCTATTTTAGAAGGCACGTGAGGGCGCCAGATTCTAGCTCAGAGGAAAGCATTATCCTGTCTAAGGGAGAGAGAGCCATAGGACTGAACTGAGAAATTGCCTGATTCTCCCAAGATCAAACCCTTTCATCTTCCAGCTGGGGGTTAGGATTTATGCCCTGGATAAGGTTTAATAGATCAGCCAACAGGCCAACTTCACAGTCATTGAGATTTCCCCTAAAGGTAGGGCCCCAGATTACCCTGTCATTCACCTGATCAAAGCACTCTTCCACCACAGTTTCCCTGTTTTGGGCTATATCAAAGAGTGAGGAAAATCTTTCTCTTAACGTAAGGATTTCCAGGAATGAACACTCAATAATGATAAATAAAAATGGAATAGATGATAAATAATTGACAAGAATAACTGGAATGCCAAAAGATAAAAAGATAAGAACCTGGAGAAGAGCAAGTGCGTTGCAAACTCGATTTGATGCAACTGGAGTAAGGGTTGGTGGTGACAAAACAGGATATATGGACACTATCTCCTGCACATGTTAACAAGGTCATTTTCAAAGATAAGTTTTCAAGGATTTTCTGGTCCTTAACATGGTCTTGAAGCAGCATAAGAGCTAAAATTCCATGTCATTGCTTTGAAATCAAAGATGACCATTAGAACAGCTAAATGTTTTCTTAATGATAGTAGGTTTAAACTATAAGAAGAATGCTTTCAATCTTATTTTGGGAATTGGGACTGCTAAGCAAATGATAATTGTTAGAGAGGAGGAAACAAAAAAAAAAAGACTTGATGCTTTTCTTTCCTCTCATGATCTCATCAAAATCACAAATCAGGGGTAAAGTTGCAAAGCAGTCCAAAGACAAAAATTACCAAATAATGTCACTTTCAGAATTACCAGAGGACCTACTAGAGACAAATTTGGGCAGAGAAAAAACTTACAAAAATACTTCTATTAGATCTCCTTATTTGGTAAGAAACTTGAAAATATATATCAATAACTTTCAGAAAAAAAAAAAAAAATCTATTCAAAGTGACTGATAAGTGGCTCCAAAAGATTTTGCTTCAGTTCAACAACTAACAAAACATTGTCCACAATTCCACATAATAGAAACCATCTATATCACAACCAGAATTAGTGAAAGCATAAAGGCCTACCTGTAAAAGTGCAGCTATAGTACCAAAAGAGTTCCACAATAATGGAGCCAAATCTTGAAATATTTCCCTTTTCTAAAAATTGAAAAAGATAATCAGTTATTATCAACAAAGATAACAAGAAAAAGGAGAAAAAATGCATTGATAATTATTCTACATAAATAGTAAAGACTCAAAACACTTATGATGGCACTATAAGCATTAAAAAACAATGATGGAAAAACAGTGCCATAAACTTTAAGATATTAAAAACAAAAGGACAAGCTTTAAACAAGAGATTGTGCAGATTCATAGGCTACAGTAATTTCTTCTTTGTAGCATTTGCCATTTTGTGATTAAGACATATCATGTATCTTATGGCACCATACCACTAGAACTGTTCAACATTAATAAATTCCACATTTTATTTGATTCCTAACGAATACAATGAAGCATTTGCTTCATGCACCTGGTTCAAAATAATTCTAGCATAAAAAATAATAAAAGAAGAAAGAATAAGAATAAGAAGTATTTAATTTTAATGTCTGAATTTTCAATCCCATATACCAATCTGGTCTTTGCTGTTAAAACATGGCACATCGTCACATTGCTCTGTATGATAGCACCGTATGTATTTTATTCCAAGATAACAAATTTCTTAAAATTGGTCATATGAACATGTACACAAGATGCCTGCCTGATACTCATATAAGGTTGGATCCGATTTATCATAACAAAATAACAGGTTTGTTTCTTATCAAGTACTAAAACCTAATTTGATAATCCTATACAGTTCTATATACCACTTAAAATACAGATCTTAGATTGAAAAAAGCTACTATTGCTCTTTTCATTTTTTCATGCACGCAACATTAATGTTATGAGACTCATTATGGCTTATCAATTACAGTCCCTTCCTCTTAACATTTATCAGAATATGTCCACACAAAACAAATAATTCCACGCATTTCATCCCATTGAACGAAAAAACTCAACAAGAAAACAATTATTTGCCAACCGTTTTAGCATGAATAATGTCATTGTCTGTCTCAATGACTATAGGCATCCATCATTAAGGTCCCTGTAATAATTAATAGAGAGGACAATCTCTACTACCCAAAAATAAATAAATAAATAAATAAAATTCTCTACAATCTCAATGTCAATATGCATCTGCTAGTTACTTGCCAACCCCACTCCCCTGGTTCAATTTTTCTCTTGTGATTCAAGGTCTACTGTGATACTAATATAGAGGACAGTCTTTTTGTGATTCACAAGCCCCCAAGACACAAGCATTGTTCTTATTGAATAGAAACCGTTACATATTTACTTTTTTTTCTAAACCTTACAATCAGTTAATTATCAATTTTAGCAATCTAATGCTTTTCTATGGGTATAGAACCGAAAGAAACAGAAAAATCATCCCAACTAATCATTATCCATAAAAAGAAAAAAGAAAAAAAAGCATATGCTGAGCCATTCGATCATCATAAAATTCGAAATTAAATCCCATACTTGATGATTAAAAAAACTATAAAACAAAGCAATACAAAAATGAAAACTGCTCCTTTTTCTTCCATAATCAAAACAGAAAAGATCAACGGACGGAAAATCAACAAAACCAATAAAGTTGGCATGCCTTTGAGAGATCAAGGAGTGCATTTTCTCTGAGATCAGGGTTGCTGAGCTCGAGTACCAACTGTTCGGCTGAGGCCATTCTACGGTCTTTGCTGGCCTGAACAGCGTTGGTGTTAGCAGAAGAAGCGGTTGGACCACCAAAAGGAGGGTTGAGCGAGAGCGATTGAGGCAGATTCGCCATCATCGGACGTGTAACGTGTCTGACACTCGTGTTTCTTCTCAGAGGAGAAGAAAGAAAGAAGAGCTAACGACAGCTCTTTTTATTCTCTTCATTTTTTATGAAGAGAAATAAAAGACTACGATGTGGATTGTGGAGTTAGTTAAAAAAGAGCGCCGAGAGCTCTCTGTCCTTCGCTTCGCTGCTTCTCCAATCTCCAGCCCAGGTTGATGGATTATTTTCCGAGGCAAGGCGGGGTGGGGAGTAGGGAGTAATTAAGGCTATATTTGGTTTAAATCTTGCTCCAAAGAGTTGCTATAATGAGTTTTAAGGGGAAAAAAGTTTCTTAATTACACATTTTAACTTCAAAGAAATCACTAATTAGTAATTATCGAAAGAGCTTCATGTTTATACTTTAGACCATCATGTGGATAATCCAATCCATTTATTTCTCTCCTTCCCCTTTTATTCATCTTTCTCTCTTTCTTTCTTTCTGTCTGTTTTGAGGAAAGAAAATCATCAATCTGATATACATCTGTTCATGGGCTGGACCAGGCCAGGTTCAGGCCAGTCTTTGCCTCTCTATTAACATACACCTAAGCTCGAGCCCAGCCATCGTATAAAGTCTGTAGCCCGGCTTAGAAATGGGCAAGGAGATTAAACAACCTTAAAACCCAACAATATCTCACTGGCCTAAGAAAACAGAAAATGATCAAAGAAAATAAATATATTATATTTTTTATTATATAGAACACTGTCAGGTTAGGCTCATGTTCAAATCGATTTTTTTTTTCTTTGAGAAAGTCCAAGCCTGACCTGCAAAAAATTCGGCCTTGTGTTTTGGGCCTGAACCTGAGCCAGCAGACCTAAAATTATGTTCAAACCCGACAAAAACCAGGCAGGCCGGTTGAATCATCTGGCCCATGAACAAGCCTACTCCAATGTAATGTGGATTGTGGAAAAACTACTCTTCTACGGGTTTAATCCCCTTGGACCATATATTCATTAGCAGAAATGGGTGAAAAGTGAAAATTGAAAACCTTTCACTTGGTAGGAATAAGCTACTCTTTTCTGGTTTATGTGAATTGGATGATAGAATAGAAAGCTCTATACATTGAGGTGGTCCTGAATTGAGAGGCATTGGACCCATTGTAGGTTTCATCTTTCATGCCTGTTTGGCCTAGAACTGTGCTCAATGTCAACCATGATTATGACCAAGGGGCCAAACTTAAATGATAATAGAATCCCTCCTTGGCTTAAAAAAAGAAATGAAAAAAAAAAATCCCTCTTCACCCTATGTGTCTTGCAGAGTGGAAAGATTTCTACTAGAATTGTGTCTCTGAGTTTTAATAATAAATTAAAACAGGTAAATCAGACTAAATTGTAGGGAGTAGCTATCGGAGACATATATATTGTTGTCAGGTGAAAATAATCCATAAATGAATAAATAGAGCTCTGTCATGTTTCTTGGATAGAAAATAATTAAAAAGTCCAGGCCATAAAGAAAACCTATAAATAAAATAAAATAAAACTACAAAACAAAGCAGAATAAGGAAAAATAAGGAAAAGGAAGAAGAGATGAATGGTGAGATCAATAACGTCAAGGTATGGATATCATTTTGCAGCCCTATCCAAAATAATAGTTTGCTTGATGTTTTCATCAACTTTCCATCCCATGCAAGTAATCAGTTGCAATCAAGGATTAAAGTATTGGTATCGAGTATCGTATGAATAAGGTATAAATACGTGAGAAATGCACACTTTAATAGGTTATATGAAGAGAAACATTACAATCAACAATATTGGGACTCTAGAATATTTATACATCATTCAATAACTTTCAATTTATTTCAATTTTTATTAATTTTTGAGAAAATTTATTAATTTAGTATTTTTACAAATAATAACTCTTTTTTTAAATAATAAATATGTTTTTCATTTTTAATGTATAACCATGGTTCAAAGTATCGATACACCTATGTGTATTGGCAAAGATGTATTGGCACTTTGAACGATAATCCCCCTATTTTTTTGTATTTTTTAATTTTAGTTTTAAATTATCTAAAAAAGCGGGTTCCCAAAAACAATTGGTGTATTAGGGACCAAAAGATACGATATGATATGCCCAATATGGGGAATACTGTATCGAAATTTTGATCCTTGTGTATAATTATGTGTAAAATAAAATAAATAAATCATTTAAGGTAGATAAAATATATTTACTTTTATAATTTTTAGTTTTTATTAATTTTTTAAATTAAATCATAAATTATTTATTTCAGTTTTTATAATTATGTTTTTTAACTTTTATTAAAGATGAAAAAACAATCCAAAACTATGCATGGATATGCTTTTGTATTAGATATTCCCAAGGTTTAAAGTATTGATATGATACTCCAATATGAAAGCATATCGTGCCAATACACATGATTCATAGGATACATTCCTAGTCATGGTGTATCCCATATTCATGACCATAGATAAAGATACGATATGCTCCATATCGAGAGTATTGTATTGATACTTTAAACCTTGGTTATTGCAATATGTGCTAAATATGGTGGCCATATCCAATTAAATCAACCATGGTGGTCACATATCAGATTAAGGTTGTTTTAGTACCATTGTCATTTCTACTTGCAGTATTTTAAGTTGGTAAATACAAATTTTATGAGTATATTTTTTTTATACCATAAATGCTTTAAGTCACGAATACAATATTGGGCACCATTGTCTATATTTTTTGATGAAAGTGATTATGTAACGTGATGTGACAAAACAAATTCTCAAAAATTTGTATTAGCCAACACAAAATATTTGCAAATAGAAGTGACAGTGGTACCAAACACAACCTAAATCAGACGTGGTGTGCCTAATCAAATTAAATCAACCGTGGTGGTGTGCCCATATCAAATTAGATCAACTGTGGTGTGGGTGGCACCTTTATCCTTTAGTGGTAGTGGATTTCCAATTCCATGGTTAAGCATCAGATCCCCCACTTTCTAACTTTATAGGTTGTTTTATTTGACCACAAAATCATTAGAATCTTCAACAATAAAATTCATGCTATATTCCTTTTCTACAATTTTATTTGATCATTATTCATTGCAAATTTTGCATTATTTTTTGAGAATTATAACATAATAGCTTTTCAATTAATTTTGCAACGGCCCTTACTATTTTAGAAGAAGGAATTTTATCAGTTCTAGGGACACATGACCACCACTAGTTGCAGTCTAAGGCCCAAGTAACTTACCAGATGGCAGATGTTCAAATGATCAGAACCAACTACCACAGATGGTCACTTATCAAGAATTACTATAGATGGATGCAATGGTTCTACTCAAAAAATGAAGTCCAGATTTGCTTCCAATGTGGATGGGTGTAAGAGTCTCAATTGGACCGGTTTTGGGTTGGACAACGTCCAAATCAAAATCAATTTGGACCGATTGAACAGAGCAATAAGACATTAGACCAGCCCAATCTTAATGGTCCAAAGTATTTATTGGATTGGATTGGACCTGGTTCATCCGTAATGGATTTTTATTGGATTGGGTCAGATTGAACTAATATCTGGTCCATTGATAGAATATAAAAATATAGGTGTTAATGGACCAAGTTTGGATTGGAACAAATCTAAATTAAAACCAATTTGAACAGATTGGAGGGTCCAGACATTAAATTGAACTGGTCCAAAATGGTCCAAAGAATTCATTGGATTGGATTAAACCTGGTCCATTTGTAATGGACTCATATTGGACCAAACCCAATCCAACTGATTCTTGAAGATCACTGAAATCAGAAACACTAAGGGCCGGTTTCATGGAATCATACCACAATGCACAATTCATTTACATTGGGCCATTGGCGAACACCCTTTTACTTGGTTTGTCCATACAATGAATCAAGGATAATTTGGTTGTCTACACAGACGTATGTGATTACTGATTACTGAATATAAAAGGGTTTAAGCACCCCCCGTTTGACCTGCGCTTGTGCCCTATGTTTTGGCAAATTTACCCAGATGTAACAATCCGAAAGTTCTGTTATCACCGAGAAAAGAACACGACGTAGATATGTCTTCATAATTCAGATACAAAACAAATATACTTATTTACTCAGGTAGAACAAGAAAACTGCATATTATCTATGACAAAAAAAAAAAAAAAAGAAAGAAATCTGAAGACTTCCAATAAGAGGAACCCTGCCATTCTCGAGATGAAAGGAAACCCCATCTCCTCATTTTACGTTGCACAAGCATCTTCCTAGTTGGGGGCCTAGACCCATCATCATCTCTGTCTCTGTCTGTCTCTCTCTCTCTCTCAAACACACAGTAATAAACCTGTTGAAGCATTTTATGCCAAAATGCCTCGTCAAAATACTGTACCCATCAGCCAGCATCCACAAAAAAGGGTGAAAACTGTGGAGAGAAGCAATTGATTACCAGTGGAACTAGCCATGCATAAAAAGTCTTAGATCATGGTTGAAGGAGTGATGAAGTATAACCAATTTACATTTCACTTGAGAGCTTTTGACTGATATAATCTCCTGGTTTCTCTCTCCAATTTTGACTGAAACATCTCCACTGTATCTGTTTCTTATGCTTTGGAAGGAGAACATCCTACAAAAATGGTAGATGCTCACTGAATGAGCATGAGAGCACTTGTGTTCCCAAAAGATCGTTGTGAATCTCAGTTGACTGCAGAACGAATCATATTCGCAAAATCCGAGTTAACTTGTAGACCTGCAATAATGCGATATCAATATTTTTTCACATTGAATTGTTCATATCGGACAAGATTAAATTATTCATGACATGAGATTTTACATAGGCTGAGATTTTGTTAAAAGATGAAATCATTTTTTTATTTTGCTTTTTATCAAAGAAAGATGAAATATGTTTCCCAAGTTCTATTTTCTTTTTCTTTTTTTTTTTCTTTGTTTGTTTTTTATTTGATCAGCAATTTTCTTTCTTTGTTTGGTTTTGGTCTCACCCAATCCCTGCATGTGCAGATTGTTAGGTAATGTCTTTCTCCAAACAGCCTAAAACTGCCCAGGTGTGTGAAAGATCATTTTATTTGGAAGATTGTAGAGTAGAACTAGGAGTTCTACAGCATGGGGCCAAAGTACTGTAGTAGGCCAAGGTGTTCAATAGCAGGGACAACAATATAACTAATGTGGTATTCTCCCTTAACACAAAGAGGGGGAAAAGCACAACTGACACAATAATAAAAGAGATATCAACCTGGGCACTTCTACTAGGCAGTGTCACCTCTAAACAGTTTCTGAGCCCATCTTCTCTGCAATACAACAATGTAAAGTTCAGAAGCAATAGAGGTTTAACAAAATCACATGGTACAGAAATAAAGAAAAGGGAATAGGGAAAGGAAAGTTTCAAGAAATACACTGAAATACCTTCTACCAATGGTTCTTTGAAAATATTGATCATCCTTGATGTGTCCTTCTCCACCATACTTGGTTTCATCAGTATTTAGTATAATCTGTACAATGGAAACCAATCAGTAACTGTTGACCCATTGTTCAATTCAGACAAGAATGATTGGTAATGTGTACAGGCTTTTTGATGAAATTCTTTTCTTTTCAATTTGGATAAAGAATAATCCAGTTAATTTTAGGAGAAAAAAAATAAAATTTATAATTGTTTCCAACAAGACAATGTACATCAATTTGTTAAGTAGACCTTATAAGTCATATTCAACCCATATAAGATTTTTACAATGTTTCAACTTACTTGATACTCCCCAGCTTCTTCTACACCTATACTGTATCTTTCATAGGAACTACTAGGATGAAAGTTGAATACAAGAAGAAAGGGACCTCTTGTGTAAGAAACCACCTGTGACATGAACAAAGAAGCATACTCAATACATGTTGGTTCCAAGACATGATCTACATACAATATTTGTCAGTAGATACTTATTTATTTATTTATTTTGGGTAGTGGTGGTGGTTTGCTAGTTAAATTGTTAGACAACCCTATTTTACAGGCCAAAAGGCAGAATTTTGCCTATCAAACCCTTTGTCAGGAATGAATTTGAGCTTAAAAACCCTTCAATCCAAAAGAAGCCCTTTTCTGTGGGCATTTTAAACTGAAAAGTTTAAACATTGGATAGCTATCTTCAGGGAAACACTAATACAGAGTCAGTTATAGGGTTGAGTGGACTAGAGAATTGAACAAATGGCCAAACAGAGGATCCCATATTCTGGTTTGGACTTTGGATAGACCACATACCTCCAATATAGCATAAATAGCATAAATCATGTAGAAGTATGCATGTAGTTCTGACATCTTTTCCACACACAAATTATATATTACATTTATATTCTTCAACCAACTTCATCCAAAACAGACAACTTCAAGTGACCTAGGAATCTTTCACACGGTAATACGGTTTCAGGACAAAAGGATCCCACATCTTAACCTTTTCACCTTCTATTCATGGATGAATTCTATCTTGAAAGCCTTAGTCATGTGTACAATTTCAAATCTAAAAGTTGAAACATCAGATAACTAATACAAATAAAGGATAACGTGAATACAATGTGGGATATAGGGGTGATGTGGACTGAATGTAACACATGGTCAATCCAGAGGGTCAACTATCTGATGGTCTGTTCAGATTGGTCACATCTTTTCTCTTGTGGCAGAAAATGGAGTAGGTCATGTAGGGAAAAACTCTAGTTGACCTGATTAGAAAACCTTTTTCCTAAAGAACTAATAAAACCACTCAACATAATTCTGTTTCCCACATACAGACACATGCATGAAGAAAACAATGTAAGATAAAATCAGTTGACTAAGCAGTTGATGCCGGATAAAAGTTTGTACATGAGAAAAATATCCCAGAGTAAATAAACTAAATTGTGTAACTCATTTATATCATTTGCAAAATTGCTGTCATATCCACACAGGTTTATCGAGGAAAATGATGCTATGCTTCATAGAATACCTTACCAGGCTTGGCAGAATGAGCTGCTACCAATACAGCTTCCAACATGATCTATAACCAAATATCTCAAAAATGTTTTGTACTTGTATGTTGTCATTGATAGGGTCATATTTTGAGATGGCAATCATGTATGAGATGTGCAGCTATAGATCTTGTTGGAAGCTGTTTTGGTAGCAACTTGTTGGTAGCAGATCCAGACTCTGGCAGAACAGGAAGAAGGTGGAAGATCAAATTCAGGAAGTTAGGAACACAAAAGCTTACTTAAGCATATTGAAAGGCTGTAAAACAGTGGCATTGAATCTAAATGGATGTATCATATTACAAGCTTAAGGTCATTTATTGATGAAGAGCAACAGGTTTTCTGAAGACAGGTATAAATTGGTGTGCCACTGAAAGGAGATAAAGTGTTTCTCTTTTCTCCGCTTATCTATTTTCAGAAATTAAAGGCCAGAATTTTGTAACCTTTTTTTGGCTTGAGACCTGAGATGCCATAATTCATGCAATGGACTCAAACATTCATTTATTTGTTTTGGTTTATTTTCCCTTTTTTGATAGTGCAATGATTTTATTAAGAGGGAAAAGGAAAAACAAGAAACACCATTAGCTAAGCTTTACCGTTCTCAAGAGAAAAAAAGTCAGAGAGAAAACTAAAATAACATGAAGGAGATCAGCTTCAGTCAGTGCAACATCCGTTCCAACAGCCTTTACAGCCTTGCATTGGGAGTATCTCTGTACTTATGTGCTTTATTTCATGGGAAGATATTCCCAATGCAAGGCTGCAAGAGTCTGTTCGAACGGTGTGAGCATGGACTTGCACCGACTGAAGCCAAACTCAACACGAAGCACCTGCCTCTAAGACATTCCCTCCCCTAAAAGATAATGTCATTGACTAGGTCCTTAATTAGCAAAGACATTAGATGAATGATCCAAGAAAATGAGATGCTTGAGGAGGAAGCAATGTGGTCATCTCTCTACTAGATTTTCCTTTTGAAGGGTTGAACATTTATACTATATATGCTCTACAAGAAAGTAGAGACATTGTCAAAAAAAAAAGAAAAACAAAAAGAGCAAGTAGAGGGATTGTATACAGGGTTGCAACTTGGGCAGGTTTGGACTGAGTTGCATGGGCCTGGCCAAGGACCTGGGTCCAGTGCACTATAAATTCTTCAAGTTGGGTACTAGACTTGCACCCCTGATTGTATAAGGCTGCTGCCTCTTTGTCTTAAAAGCTAGTGCCCAAGGAGAAAGAAAGAAATAAGTTCAGAGATCACTATGATAACGTTAAAGAGATTAAACACATGTAACTTAAAGAACATTGATGGATGTCTGTTAAGTAGAACAACTTATAAGAGAAAGCTTCAATTTGACCAATAGATATCGATCATAACAGAGTGGAAGGTGAAACCAGGATTTATGTAGCCTACCCTATATAGCTGGGATAAGACTCTTTTGAATTAAGTTATTAATTCAACACTAATGCATATTCTTTTGTCCTGCAATTAAATGAACGGATGAACTATTAACCATACCATAGCAGTGTCATTTACATGGTGGACTTTAGGTAGACCTCTTGAAAGTATCTTTTCCTTGTCATCCAACTTCATCATATCCTATGAAGCAATACTACATTTAGAATCATAGGAAGTAGAGCAATGCTAATATAATTAAAACAAGTGATGGAAAAGATACCTTATCGAACTGAAATAGACTGTCATGCAAACCTTTATCCATAAGTAAACCCCATTGGCGGTTGGCAAGGGAAAATGAGAAGTTGTTGCTTGGCATAGGAAACTCAACCCTCTAATACAAGATGAAATAATATATCACAAAATGTTTCTATAGCACAAGTTTCTATAGATATTTAAAGGAAGAAAACCTCACCTTTGGATGCCCGAATTCATTACCCATGAAGTTCAGGTAAGCACGACCACCTATGGTAAATGTAATTAATTTGATCATCTGATTCAAGTCAAAGATTCAAATGTTTAGGAAAGGACTGAAAGAAAAGCTAATATATATTGTTGAAGGCGTTTTTTAATCCAAATAATATTTAATAATTTAATAACCCAAATAAATGGGTTGGCTAGTCTACTAGCCAAATCATCAAAACTATAAAAAAGTATCCCGTATGGGAGTTCCCTCTCTTTTAGTGGGAGGGACAGGTGTCCTTCACCTAGGAGGAGGAAGTAGTTACATAACTACCTCACTCCCTATTTAAGCTCCTTAAGGGGAAGCTAGAGAAGGACACGCTCTTTGGGGAAAATTATCTCGAGAGATTCTTAAGAAAAGCAAAGATAAAGAGAGAACAAAAGAGAAGTGCTCAAGGGAAGGCAGGGATGGAAAAGAAGTCTCATTGATACAGGTAGGAAAAGGGAAGTCCTCTTCGTGAATTGATGTGGACAAAAAAACAAATTACAAGCAATACTTCAAGTATACAACAATAAACACAAGAAACACCAAGCTGAAAACAACAAAACAAGTTGAATTTTTAGGGATTTTAGACCTGAACCTGAAGTAAAACTCCTCCTGGAACAGTTCTGCTATAGTAACAATGGCAGCAAGCTGGCCTCCCGTGCGGACACACAGTGATGGAGGGAGTGGAAGGTGCCAAAATGGGTTGACTCCTCAAAACCCAAGCTCCCAATACTTGAAAACCCTATCTGGGGCTGAGCTACAGCTCAAACAAGAGAGGAAGAACCAAAAGATTCCTCCAAAAATAACCCCCTTCTCTTTTAGCAGCCTTGCACATGTCTCCATCTAGCCTCGTAAACTTCTCTTCACTAATCCAAGAGTTCTCAATTGATGGCTTCCCTTTCCACTTGACCAAGAACCTAAAATAGGCCCAATTTCGAGTGTTGGTGACTCGAACGCCTTCTACACACTCTACTTGTTCAAACCCCAGGAGAAGCCAATTAAAATATTTACGCATAAACCCCTAGAATGTTTCCCTCTCACAAGCAACTCCTTAAGAACAAAACTAACTTCAAATGAACCCCCAAAAGATAACTTTTGTTACAAAAATACCCAAGAGGCCAAAACCCAACAGATATGCACCCAACTGCCCCTCACCAGAATCTGGCTTATAAAATGACGAAAATACCCCTGGTCCCAAACTGTCAACAAAGCTACCCAAAAACAACAATTTGGGATCCTACTACAAAAATCATGCAAAACAGAATACATTCACATTTTTTTTCAATTTTCTTTTTTTTTTTGCCTCATCATGAATACTTCCTATATATGTCTTTTGCTATATATTTCTCTCTCTCTCTCTCTCTCTCTCTCCCTTTCTCTCTTATTTTCACTTTTGAGAAAGGAAATAAAGGGAAATAAACCATCTACAACCAGGTGCCTCTACTTGGTTGATTATGGTCCCTCTTTCAAGACAAAGTTAGGGATTAAACCATCTATAGTCTAATTCTCAAGGGCTGATTATGGTTGCCTTCAAATGAAAATGAAGAACAGAGGGATAATAACCGTCTACAATCAAATATTCAATTTGATTGACTACGGTTCCCTTTTTGTATGCAAAAATCCAAGGATTAAGGCTATCTACAGTCAAAACTTCATCTGATTGACTACAACTTATTGCGAAGAAAGGAGTGAGAAGGAAACTTTCTTTGTATCAAAATGAAAAGAGAGAAATGTATTGTTGTATAGTTTCTCAATTGTATTTTCTTTTTCTTTCTTTTCATTCTTGTACACTTGATGTAAAAGAAACTCAAATGAAAAGTTATTTTTTAAGTACCCTATTGTTCTTTTCTTTTGTTCTATGCTCCAAGTCAAAATCAAAAGGTGTTCTCTACTTTTTTGTGGAGATATAATTAAAGGGAACTGTAGAGAAGATGGGCCGAATGGCCCATAGACTGTCATTTCATGTTATGTTATGTTTCTCTCTGTTGTGGGCCTTATTCTGGGCCCATACTCTGTAATATTCTGTTTTTTGTATTTTCCTGCTCACTCAAGGGCCTCTCTATAATTTGTCAAAGATTAACTTATTAATAAGATGTTTAGAGTGTTAGA